TAATAGATAGATAGATGGATGGATGGATGGAAGGAAGGAAGGAAGGAAGGAAGGAAGGAAGGAAGGAAGGAAGGAAGGAAGGAAGGAAAGCTCATTAAAAAGCAATCACTTTGGCAGTGACTGATATTGAAAGTAAAAGAAGCAGCTCCAGTTCTCCTTTTCCCCAGCTCATCTGTAAGTCTTTGGGCATCCCGTGTCACAGCAGTTGATAATTCTAGCAAATTTTGCTTGTGAGTTCTGTTTTCCATCCGGCCAACCACTGATCTCCAGCAGGGTGCAAAAGGTTGTTCTCGGCTTCTAAGTCTGTGCCCTGCTGATCTCATTTGAAGATCAGCAGTGAATACCTACGGCCTAGTGGGGTGAGGACTGTTTCAGAACTGTTCCTCTAGAACAGTGGTTCTCAACCTTTCTAATGCCGCGACCCCATAATACAGTTCCCCATGTTATGGTGACCCCCAACGACTTATACATCACCAGGTGCCAGGGGTGTGGCCAAAGAAAAGAGAAAAAAATGGCGGACAGCCTTGTTTGGCGACCCCCGTGAAATGGTCGTTCGACCCCAAATGGGGTCCCAACCCACAGGTTGAGAACCACTGCTCTAGAAGCTGGAAATATATCACAGGATTTCTTTTTAAAAATAAATTGCATTTAAAAAAAAGCTGTGGAAATGCTTGTGGAAACCAGTACAGACCATCTTTGATTTACTACCACAACTGAGCCCAAAATTTCCGCTGCTAGGCAAGACAGTTGTTAAGTGAACCAGTGCAGTTGTTAAGCCAGTAACACGGTTGTTAAGTGAATCTGGTTTTCCCATTGACTTTGCTGGTCAGAAGGTCCCAAAGGGGGATCACATGATCCCAGGATACTGCAGCTGTCATAAATACATAACAGTTGCCAAGCGCTTGAATTTTGACCACTTGACCATGGGGATGGTCATAAGGGTGAGCAACAGTCAGAAATTAACATTTTTCAGTGTCGTTATAACTTTGAACGGTTACTAAATGAATGGTTGAAAATCAAGAACTACCTGTATGCATACATCAATCATTTAAGACATGAAAACACGAAATTGCAAAGAAGAAATTGACAAAGACGTGAGCTGATCAGTCACGCCTGGAGTTTTTTTTTCCATGTAGCATTAACTGAGGGTCATTTTTTGTGGTGTCTTTTTTATGCTGTAAATGTGTGCTCTAGCTCCTCTTCATTTTCCTCCTCCTCCCCTTAATTTCCTCACCACATAACAAAGAAATTCGGACCTTACAAATTAAGTCAGTCTCGGCTCAGGCTAATTGGCTATACAATTGTTAGGCCATAATATTTGTGGCAAGTGTTCTTGAATATGTCAAAATCTCACTTGCCACAATTGAAATGTTTAACTCAGGCTAAATTGTACAGGTGTGTATGAACACTTTATGCACATACAAGCATGCACACACCATTCCTTGTAGCCTCGGTGTTAGTTTATAAAATTCACATAAAGCAGTGTCTTCTTTTGTTTACTGTCTTTATTACTTAAGCTGATTGTATTGATCTATATCAGTGGTGGCGAACTTATGGCACGGGTGCCAGAGGCGGCACTCAGAGCCCTCTCTATGGGCATGCACGCCGTCGCTCCAATCCTAGGCCTTCAGCTGGGTTTTATAAAACCTTTTTGCTTTAGGCCTCCGCCGCCATGTACAAAAAAAAGAGATTCAATCAATCAGTCAATTTCAACTTCTTGCGGGGAAAAAAAAAAGATCTTGCAAAGTTGGAATTGATTGATTGAACTTTTTAGTCCCACCCAGTCTGCTGTTACCACCACAGCCACCCCCACCCAATGAGCCACACCCACTCAATGGGCCACACACCCCGGCACCCGACAATGCATAAATGGGTTTTGGGTTGCAGTTTGGGCACTCGGTCTCTAAAAGGTTGGCCATCACTGATCTATATAGTTCTTCAGGGCTTGGTGCTTGATAATTGTACCTCCAGTCAAAATTGACCCAGCTCACTAGATCCTTTGCCGGGGTCCCCAAATTTGGCAACTTTTATCCTAAAGTTGCTTTTTCAAAAGGCAACTGGAGTTTGATTTTCCTTGAAGATTTTTTCACTTCTTATCCAAGAAGCTTCTTCAGTTCTGACTGGATGGTGGAGAATGGAAGGATTTAAATTCCTTGCAATCATCTGGGTGTTAGCACTCTCTCTGAGAGTCACTGTTTGGATGAGAAGTGAAACGTCTTCAAGGAAAAAAACAAAAAACAAAGCCCAGTTGCCTTTTGAAAAAGCACCTTTGGGATTACTTTATATATGTTTTATATGGAAAGTGGGAAAGTGGATAATAATAATAATAATAATAATAATAATAATAATAATAATAATAGTAATAATGACAAAAAAGTCTGGATAGTGGATGTGGCAGTGCCTGGAGACAGCAGAATAGACGAGAAAGAACTGGAGAAGATAACAAAATACAAAGACCTACAAATAGAAATAGAACAAGTGTGGCAAAGGCAAGCAAGGGTAGTACCAATAGTCATAGGCACCTTGGGTGCAATCCCAAAACAACTGGAGCACCACTTGAACACCATTGGCATTGACAAATTTGCTATTAGTCCAGTGATTCTCAACCTTTCTAATGCCGTGACCCCATAATACAGTTCCCCATGTTGTGGTGACCCCCAAGTGGGTGTGGCCACCAATAAGAAGGATTAGGACAGCTAGGGAAAAGGGAAAAAAATGGCAGACAGCATGGTTTGGCGACCCCCGTGAAATGGTCATTCGACCCCAAATGGGGTCCCGACCCACAGGTTGAGAACCACTGTATTAGTCAATTGCAAAAGGCGGCCTTACTGGGAACCGCCTCCATCCTGCGATGATATCTGTAATACCATCAAACATCCACATCTGCCTATCCCAGGTCCTGGGTAAGGACTTAATAGGTAGACAAAATGCCAAATCCAGTCTGAACATCTGGCTGACTGTGCAATGATCAATAATAATAATAATAATAATAATAATAATAATAATAATAATAATAATAATAATAATAATAAAGTTGGAAGGGACCTTGGAGGTCATCAAGTCCAGGCAGGTAACCCTATATCATTTTGGACAAATGGCTATCCAGTCTCTTCTTAAAAACTTCCAGTGTTGGAGCATTCACCACTTCTGGAGGCAGGTTGTTCCACTGATTAATTGTTCTAACTGTCAGGAAGTTTCTCCTTAGTTCTAGGTTGCTTCTCTCCTTGATCAGTTTCCATCCGTTGCTTCTTGTCCTGCCTTCAGGCACTTTAGAGAATAGCTTGACTCTTTCTTTTTTGTGGCAGCCCCTGAGATATTGGAACGCTGCTATTATACCCCCCCCCTCTTCCTTCTCTTCATTAAACAAGACATAACCCAATTCCAGCAACCGTTCCTTATATGTTTTAGCCTCCAGCCTGCTGATCATCTTTGTTCCTCTATCTCTCCACTGTAACCATCTGTAGCTTCGATCATTTGTGATTTCTATCATCAGCAGCCTAAGTCTTATACATAATGTAATTCTGATCATTGAACTTACTCCAAAGAATCTGAGAAGACCGGGATCTCCAAAATTATCCGAGTGCCATCCACATATTCCTTGCGATCTACTGCTCTTACTGAACTTCTAATCTACTTAACTAACTACTTCCTATTTGAGATGAATCTGATGAATGTGGGGGTTTTATAAGGATTTTGTCCTAATAAAAAAATTGAATTCTAGCCAAACAGAATTGCTGGAATGCAAAGTTAGTTGAAGCAGCATGGGATAGATAAGCAAATGGCTATTAAGCTTACACAGGTGCAAGGGGCGCAGTTGGGTTGTGGTGGAACTGAACGCCACAACCCACGCTCAAAACAACCGTGTTATAGATAACGGGACAAACCTTGTAGCAGTTTGCTGTGAAAATGCCACTGTTAGGCACAGGGGCAAAGGTAAACTTTTAGGGGATTTTCCATTTAGAAATAGGTAAATGACCAAATGCGAATTAGTCAATGCAAATTTCTTTATGTTTATGTTTTCTTGTATGTGTACAGGTGATCAATCAATCAGAGTAGAGCTGGAAGGGACCTTGGAGGTCTTCTAGCCCAACCTCCTGCTCAAACAGGAAACCTTATACCATTTCAGACAGGTGGTTGTCCAGTCTCGTCTTAAAAACCTCCAGTGATGAAGCACCCACATCTTCTGGTGGCAAGCTGTTCCACTGGTTAATTGTCCTCCAATGATGGTTGTGTCTGACTCTTGGCGATTCTATGGGCCAGATCTCTTCACATCTTCTGATCTTGCACTGCTTCTCTGAGTTGCTCCATGTTGTGGCTGGTGTCAGCTTTGAGGGTGTCCAGCCATCCTGTTCTTTAGCGGCCTGGTTTCCTTTTAAAAATGGAATTCGAAATGGTCAGTTGCTATTTAAGATGAAACAAACATACTTTTTTTTTTAAACTAAGCATTAGTGGACTTTGCTACCCAAACTCATCTTGAAGAAACTTAGGGGCCAATTTTCTGGAACTCTTTAGAAAGTCCTGTCCTTTCCTTCACAAAACAAGTTTATTTCATGGTTTTTAAAAATATTTTTATTTCCTAGAATGGTTTAAGGTGGGACGTGTAAACCGATAAGTCAATAACTTGGGTGACCTGATCAGTTGTTTTCTAAGTGCAGCTTGCAAAATCTTATTTAGAAGAAATAGGGATTAAGTTTATTGATCAAGCAAATCTAGAAAAGCCCTTTTAATCGATGTCCCACATATTACAGTCAGCATTTCTTTGTTTTAATTCTAATGTTTGGTTGAGTTCGCATAGTAACTATAACGGCTAGGCATATGCCAGAAACAATCTTAAGGCTTCAATGCAACGTGAAAACCAAATTCGTTAACTTGGTTTGGAATCCTGGCGTTGATGCATCTTCCGCCAAGAAATGTTAATCAATTTTTATTTTCCCTTAGGGGGTTGTTTGAATCAAGAAGAAAGCAAAATAAAATAACTTGCTCTGCTTTTTCATTTCTAGAATTTTGTCGAGCGCTGGGAAGGAGCTGAAAGATAATTTTCTGAAAGCCTTGGCAGAGAGGGAGGAAGCCAACCGTAATGGGAAAATGTCTGTGAGTAAATTTGAAAAAAATCTATAATTCTATGATGAGTATTGGAATTATGAACTGTCAATGTGAGAATGTAAAACCGGACCATATTTCTGAACACATCTGCATGGGAATACATACATACATGCCAAAATCGTACATGAAACTTCAGAAATGGGCAGGAAATAGCTTGGGCTCTATTAAAATAGCCTAGTGGGTTTGTGATAAATAGGGAGGCGTTTCTAACTCCCCTTGGAATAACCCCTAGCAACAGTATAGTATATTTTTGCTACCTAAATTTGGCTGTTGGAAGGAAGAAAACAAGCGCCACCAGCAATGCAGCTTCATGAGAAGAGATTGCACAGTAAGTCCTCGAGTTACAACCAGTCATTTAACGGTGGTGAATTACGAAGTTACAACGGCACTGAAAAAAAACGACTTATGACCATTTTTCATTCTTACGGCTGTTGCAGCATCCCCGTGATCACGTGGTCAACATTCAGATCCTTGCCAACTCGCATGTATTTAGAACAGTTGCCGTGTCCCAGGGTCACGTGATCCTCTTTTGTGACCTTCTGACAAGCAAAGTCAGTGAAGAAGCCACAATCAACTAACAACAGTGTTACAACTACAGCGATTCACTTAGCAACTGTGACAAGAAAGGTCGTAAAATGGGGCAAAGCTCATTTAATACACTGTCTTGCTTAGTAACAGAAATTTCGGGCTCATTTGTGGCCATAAGTCAAGGGCTACCTGGATGTGCGGGTGTGTTTTTGTGCTGAAATCCAACCTTTAGAAAATCTGCTTAGAAATTTATTCTGCTCAGGGTTCCGACTGGGGCATCGTTGGGCCTCATTAAAACCCCAACCAAAATAGATCAGTCAAATTTGAATTCTGCCCATTTGTACTTCAAATAATTCGTGGAGAGTACTTTCACGTAAAGAATCAGTACGGCTTGCAAATTTTCTACATGTACTTTCTTCTTTAAAAAAATATTTTATTCACTTATAATATAAAGTACGAAAATAAAAAAGCAAGCATAATAGGGAACAAAGGAAGGGGAAGGGAAAAAGAGAAGTGTAAGAAAGAGGGGGGGAGTAAAATAAGTAAATAAGTAAAATAAGGCATCAACATCAAACCTCAACTTTTTACATTTCTATAGTCATATGAACTAGTCATTTCTATGTCAACAAATCAATCTAATTGGTAAAACCCAAAATCAAAGTATCATTTTTCCCCACCTCAAGCACAAAGTCCAGAAGCGGTTTCCAAGTAGAAACAAAAGTACTTATGGACTTCAACTCCCAGAATTCCTGAGCCAGCATGGCTCAGCTTGGAAACTCTCCCTTTCTCCTCAGCATATATTCTTTCCTTTTATCCAAATAGTCGATTTAGCCATCTCTACTAATTCCATCAACTTTTGTAGCCATTCATCCATGGTGAGAATTCCATTTTTGAGCATAGAGTAGTCTTGCTGCCGTCAACATATTTTGTATAAAATCAGAGTTCCCAATTTTTTTCCAAGTCTTTTTCCATTAAACCCAGAAGGAAAATTTCTGGTTTAATCTTTATATTCACTTTAAGAATTTCCTGCATTAAAATATGAATCCTACTCCAATATTTCTTTGTTTTATCACATGTCCACCGTAAATGATCAATGATTCAAATTATATTCACATTGATTTTTCAGTCTTGTTTCCCAGAACAAACCTGGCACACACTTCCATATATAGGCAGTCCTCGACTTATGACCACAATTGAGCCCAAAATTTCTGTGGCTAGGTGAGGCACTTATTGAGTGAATTTGACCCCATTTTATGACTTTTCTTGCCACAGTTGTTAAGTGAATCAGTGCCGTTGTTAAGTTAGTAACCTGGTTGTTAAATGAATCTGGCTTCCCCGTTGACATTGCTTGTCAGAAGGTTGCAAAAAGAGATCACGTGATCCTAGGACACTGCAACCGTCATAAATATGAGTCAATTGCCAAGCGTCTGAATTTTGGTCATGTGATCATGGGGATAATGCATTGGTCGTAAGTGTGAAAAACGGCCATGTCACTTTTTTCAGTGCAGTTGTAATTTTGAACTCTCAATAAAGGAACTATTTAAGGCAGGGACTACTAGCATTGATAAAAGGGGTAAAGTGTTCTCTAATGAAATTGGGTAAATGGAACTGAATAGATTACAACTTGTTTTATTAGTAACATGTGGTCACCACAATGTAAAAAATATGTTGACACTCTAGAAAGAGTACAAAGAAGAGCAACAAAGATGATTAGGGGACTGGAGGCTAAAACATATAAGGAACGGCTGCTGGAATTGGGTATGTCTAGTTCAGGGGTAGGCAACCTTGGCTCTTTTATGACTCGTGGACTTCAACTCCCAGAATTCCTGAGCCAGCCATGCTGAGGAGAAAGGGAGAGATTCCAAGCTGAGCTATGCTGCCTCAGGAATTCTGGGAGCTGAAGTCCACGAGTCATAAAAGAGCCAAGGTTGCCTACCCCTGGTCTAGTTTAATGAAGAGAAGGACAAGGGGGGACATGATAGCAGTGTTCCAATATCTCAGGGGCTGTCCCAAAGAAGAGGGAGTCAAGCTATTTTCCAAAGCACTTGAGGGCAGGACAAGAAGCAACGGATGGAAACTAATCAAAGAGAAAAGCAACCTAGAACTAAAGAGAAACTTCCTAACAGTTAGAACAATTAATCAGTGAAACAACCTGCCTCCAGAAGTTTTTAAGAAGAGACTGGACAGCCATTTGTCCAAAATGGTATAGGGTTTCCTGTCTGAGCAGGGGGTTGGACTAGATGACCTCCAAGGTCCCTTCCAACTTCATTATTATTATTATTATTATTATCAATCATCGCACAGTCAGCCAGATGTTCAGACTGGATTTGGCATTTTGTCTACCTATCGAGTCCTTACCCAGGACCTGGGATAGGCAGATGTAGATGTTTGATGGTATTACAGGTATCGTCGCAGGATGGAAGCAGTTCCTAATAAGGCCGCCTTTTGCAATTGACTAATATTATTATTATTATTATTATTATTATTATTATTATTATTATTATTATTATTATTATTATTTTGGATCATCGCACAGGCAGCCAGATGTTCAGACTGGATTTGGCATTTTGTCTACCTATCGAGTCCTTACCCAGGACCTGGGATAGGCAGATGTGAATGTTTGATGGTATTACAGATATCGTCGCAGGATGGAAGCAGTTCCTAGTAAGGCCGCCTTTTGCAATTGACTAATAGCGAATTTGTCAATGCCAATGGTGTTCAAGTGGTGCTCCAGTTGTTTTGGGATTGCACCCAAGGAGCCTATTACTATTGGTACTACTTTTACTATTATTATATTATTATTATTATTATTATTATTATTATTATTATTATTATTATCGATCATCGCACAGTCAGCCAGATGTTCAGACTGGATTTGGCATTTTGTCTACCTATCGAGTCCTTACCCAGGACCTGGGATAGGCAGATGTGGATGTTTGATGGTATTACAGATATCGTCGCAGGATGGAAGCAGTTCCTAATAAGGCCGCCTTTTGCAATTGACTAATAGCGAATTTGTCAATGCCAATGGTGTTCAAGTGGTGCTCCAGTTGTTTTGGGATTGCACCCAAGGAGCCTATGACTATTGGTACTACCCTTGCTTGCTTTTGCCACAGTCTTTCTATTTCTATTTGTAGGTCTTTGTATTTTGTTATCTTCTCCAGTTCTTTCTCTTCTATTCTGCTATCTCCAGGCACTGCCACGTCCATTATTATTATTATTATTATTATCAATCATCGCACAGTCAGCCAGATGTTCAGACTGGATTTGGCATTTTGTCTACCTATCGAGTCCTTACCCAGGACCTGGGATAGGCAGATGTAGATGTTTGATGGTATTACAGGTATCGTCGCAGGATGGAAGCAGTTCCTAATAAGGCCGCCTTTTGCAATTGACTAATAGCAAATTTGTCAATGCCAATGGTGTTCAAGTGGTGCTCCAGTTGTTTTGGGATTGCACCCAAGGAGCCTATGACTATTGGTACTACCCTTGCTTGCTTTTGCCACAGTCTTTCTATTTCTATTTGTAGGTCTTTGTATTTTGTTATCTTCTCCAGTTCTTTCTCTTCTATTCTGCTGTCTCCAGGCACTGCCACGTCCACTATCCAGACTTTTTTGTCTTTCTTATCGACAATTGTTAAGTCTGGGGTGTTATGTTGCAGGTGCTTGTCTGTTTGAATTCTGAAGTCCCAGAGCAGTTTAATTTTATCATTTTCTATGACTTTCTCTATTTTATGATCCCACCAGTTTTTGCTTACAGGCAAATGATATTTTTTGCAGATCTTCCAATGCACCAGTGTTGCTACTTTGTCATGCTGCTGCTTGTAGTCAGTATTATTATTATTATTATTATTATTATTATTATTATTATTATTATTATAAACAGGTTATCCTCAACTCACAATCACAACTGAGCCCAAAATTTCTGTTCCTAAGCAAGACAGTTAAGTGAGTTTTGCCCCCTTTTATGACCTTAGTCATAAAATTAGTCTTGGTATGATTAATTTTAGTGAGGAAGTAGAACAAGGAGCCTCCAGCAAAGAGAATGGAAGTAAAAATAACAGCGGTGGAATTTAGGATGAAACTAAATTGAGAGAATGCTGGAAGGAGTACTTTAGAGATTTACATGGTAAGGATTGTGATAATAGAACCGAGACTAATGTTATACAGTAAATATTAGGATTAAAGAAAAACTTGATGAAAGGAGGATTATACATGCTGTGACAATCCTGGAAAATAATAAGGCTGCAGATGTAAGTGGTATAACTAGAGAAAGATTAAAATACAGGTAGTCCTCAACTTACAGCCATAATTGAGCCCAACATTTCCTTGCTAAGTAAGACATTTGTTAAGTGAGTTTTGCCCCATTTTACAATCTTTCTTCCTTCAGTTGTTAAGCAAATCACTGCAGATTAAGTTAGCAATGTAGTTATAAGGCGAATCTGGTTTTCCCATTGAGTTTGCTTGTCAGAAGGTTGCAAAAGGTGATCACATGAGTGCAAC